ACATATATATTTATAATTTATGCATATATATATATATTTTTTTTATATATGTTCATATATATAGCTAGTCATTATGAATAAGAAACTTACAAGTTATGTGAAATATTTCGTACTTTTTTTTGGAGCATTTTATGGCTAATTAAATGTTGAAAATGTAAATAATTTATGTAAATTATTTTTTAAATAATTTTTTCAACTTACATAACAGTTGTTCATAGTAGCTATTTATAGAAAACACATGTACATAATTACAACACAAAATGAAAAAAATTCTATCTAAATTCTTATAGGAAAATAAAAATAATGCCAGAAAATAAATGTACATATATAAAATAGTATCTAATAATGTAAATATAACGTATAATTAAAATATTATGTAATTATAGAAATATTATGTAGTATATAAATTATAAAAATGTTACACAACAGCAATATAAATTATTGCATTGTTAATATCTTAATTAACAATTATATGCCTTTTTATATGAAACAAAATATATGTATAATAAAATATGCATGATACGCTTTTTTTATATATAATTCCATGCTTTTTTGTATCTTTCATAAATTTTATAATATTATCTCTAATATAAGTTTCCATATTTTCAAATTGTCACGGACTTTCCACATCAGGATAATAATTATCCACCTATTTAACTATTTACATTTCATTATAAGTTTAAGAAAAGTCATTTGTTTAATTTTTAACATAGTTTTTTTTTTTTAATGAAATGCAAGGCATCAAAAAATTCGTGTATGCATAGAAAAATATGAAAGAGATAATAATTCGTAAAATATTGCAAAAAAAAAGCTACATTCGAAAATGGCAGACTTAAGAATTTTATCTGGAATAATAAATATCCCAGTGTGAGGAACCTAGAGTTATTTCCGAAATTCTAATGCATAGATTAAAACGTCAGATTTATTTCTAGCATCTAAAGTTTATGATACATATTCTTTATTTTTATCGATAAAAGTATCTTAAATATATCTTGTCGATCCATTAGATGACTTATAAGTCATTTTTAAAAACACTTTTATTAATAAAAATGAGCTGAGAATATGGATTTCTATATTATATATTTAATTCTGTTTCAAGATCAGAACAAAAATTTTTTGTAGATTAATGAAATTAAATTTTAAATTATTAATTAATGTTAATATAGTTTATCTTTTCTTGATAAGTTTTATAGATTATTCGAGAATTATTTTACGTAATACTTTGTGATAAAATTTTATGATTTTTTTTTATAATAAAAAAAGCTACTAAGTACTTCTTAAATCTTTTGATTTAAATTATTTTAAAAAGTGCAAATTAATTTAAAAGATTAAAAAATTGATCTCTTGAATTAAAAAAAAAATATATTTTACCGCTATTTTCGGGTGGACACTGTTCGCAGTAACGACCCCAAGCCTTGCCCATCGTGCAACAACAGTGTTTCTTAGTCATTCCACCTTCCCGTGGAAAAGTACACTGGCCTCGTCTATAATTATCGTAACATTGTTCCTCCCTCACGTCAATACACCTTAACGAATTCGGTTTTTCGCTCAACTGGTACCCGATTGGACATTCGCAGATCACTCCGCCCTCGGTATTAATGCATTGCCCGTTTTCGCAAATGCCTCTCGTTTCTACGCACTCATCCACGTCTATAGGAGAATAGAAAAAAAATATTGCATTTAGAAAATTGTCCAAGCACGAGTAATTAATATAATTTAATTAATATAATTTTTACGAACCAACACATTTCCTTCTGGACTGATCCAGCTCGTATCCTAGTGGACAGGTACATATGTAAGATCCCATTAAGTTCTGACATTTCCCTGGAGATGGACATAATCCAGGTATCTGCAAGATATTAATTTTTAAATAATATTAATAAATGTAGATTGCTTATCAACTTATCACATAGATTTCTGATTTTATTGAGATAAGTACTGGCTATCTTCTTTGAAAATTTTCGAGAAATAATCTATCATGATTTGTGTAACACACACCTCATGACACTCATCGATATCACGACAGTGCTGGCCGTCTTGCGCCAACACGTAACCATCTGCACATTCGCAAACAAAGCCACCAATTGTATTCCGGCATCGACCATTACGGCACAAAAACGGCATGATTCGACATTCGTTAATATCTGAAACCAATTTGTTGAATTTGTCCAGACAGATATGAAGAATATATTAATAAAATAACTGTAAAGTATATTCAAATATGATGTATTTACCTGTACAATCATTGTTCGGGCTCAGCTTAAATCCCTGGTAGCATTGACACTTGTAGGAGCCCAAGGTGTTAATGCATGTGCCATTATTACATATGTCCGGATTGCGCTGGCATTCGTCGATGTCAACACAGTTGTCCCTATCGCGCGTTAATGAGAACCCGGAATGACAGATACACTGGAAGCCACCTTGTAGATTGCTACACGCACCATTGCTGCAGATGCCCGGTCGTTCGTAACATTCATCGATGTCGACGCAATCGTGTTGGCTGGGCCCGAGTTTGTAACCAGCCGGACATACGCATTCGAAATAACCTTGTTGATTAATACACTGCGCGTTTCCGCTACACGGATTAGGTATCTGAAAATAGTGAAAATTATATCGCAAACGAGTCTACTATTTATCATAAATAGTAATGAACACTTATAAACTCTGATCCTCCGTTGCTTTAACTATAAAAAAGAAAAAATTATTGTAATATTATATAAATTTTTTAATAGCTTATCAACTCTATTTTTTAAAAAAATTTCTTAATTTTAATACTAAAACATAAATTATTTATTAAAAATCTGAGTATATACTATCTTTTCTGATAAAATTTCTAATGAAAAGTATCAAAACAAAAAAATAAGCTAAAATATAAATTTATTTTTCTTTTATATTATATTAAGAAAATATTTTTGAAAGCTTATTTGTCTTAGTAATTTTAATTTAATTTGAAGAAGTGTATAGGCGTATCCAAAATTTTTTCAGGGGGAGGGAGTTTTTATCAATTCTGATACAATAAACAGCCATTTTTTTGCTTTTTTTGATATTTTTAAACTTAGAATTTAAAATCAGAAATGAAAAAATATTTAATTTTGTAAATCATAATTTTAACTCTTTTAAATTTCAAAGAGAGTTGAACCCCCAACTTCTTTCTGGATACGCATACATAAAACAGTGTATGTTTGAATTTTTAACAAGCAAAATATAACTAAAATTTGACTAGTTTTTCAAGAAGAATTAGTTTGTTTTTTGAGAGACTCATGTATTACAATAATATTTTTCTGCAAATCGAAAGAGTGAGTTAAGATCTTTTAAAAGTCGTCGAAGATTGCACCTGTTGACACTCATTTTCGTCGATACATTGATGTGAATCCTGGTCGTAAATATAGCCACGGTCGCATTGACACTCAAACTGACCGGGCGTATTCATGCAATGGCCGTGAGTACTACATTGTTGGCATTAGAGCGCACTCGTCGAT